ACACGCCACACAACTTCAACACAGGACCCAAAAAGAGGGGAGATGGCATGAGCAGAGCAGCGCGAGTGGTATTCAGGGTATGCCGATGCTTACGCCTACGATTGAAAGTGTAAATCGATTGCTCTTCATCTTGAAAATTATGGATCATCAAAGATTTAACTGATAGGCAACCAAAGAATTGAGTAGTACTCACAAATATTCTCAAGTGATAATAACACCATTATCAGATTTCGTTATCACTGAACATTCTTTCCTCCACGGGTACATCCTTAGTTGGGAATCCCAAATTATTGGCGGTCGGATTAGCTTTGTCAAATGATATCAAAACATAAAGTATTTTGATCTTCCAGCGAGTTACAAACCTTGCTGGGTAGCGGTCGTAATCTATGTAATAGTCGTAATCATAAATACATCGTAAATAACACAGGAGTTGAATTCTTTGGTAAGTGCTCTTATCAATCCTTATCAGCTGTTATCACTTCCTATCATCGGTCGTCTACGATTCCGCCATACTCCACACCACATGCCAAACTGTCAAGGCTCCACTATCAATGCTATTATTATACACTATTAATGCCATTATTATAGTGGCTCTACGCTTTCGACGATTTTCATTAGCCCTTATCAGTTTCATCAGCTCCTGGCCTGGCACCAACCGTACTCGATCCCGTCACCGAGTACCTACGATCCTTCGCATCTTACATAACCCATTAGAATTCTAGGATTCCATTATTAACAGAGAAAGCGTTACAGACCCGTGGCCCTCGACTTCTATGGCTCGTTATCAGCCATTATCAGTTGTTATCATCCCTGCCAACAATCACTAACGGTCCCATCACATCCTACATCACTTGCCAAAGTTCCAAGGCTTCACCGCTGATACGAAGAAAGTTACGGACACTGTGGTTTTCGCTTTCAAGGCTACTTATCGGTTTCTATCGATTGTTATCACTTCCAATCACCTACCGTTAGTGTTCCCATCCCATCTTCTATCTCTCTTTCATATTTCTTACCTGGATGCAGACCATAGAGATTCGAAACTCCTCTTCAATGTTGTTTCTCATCTTATTTAGACGGGAACTGTGAGAGTGTGAGTGAGATGAACTATTTTTTATTCGTTGCTCCATTGTGAGGAGCTTTCCTGATTCAAAAACTTTGTGTTGGTTCACCGTATTTTTCACAAAACTCGCCTATTATACCGAGAGTACTTTTTCATAAAAATTTCAGCTGAACTATACCAGTTCACTTCTATAACTTTCCAGAAAAGGCATTACTTCATCCAAAAGCGCTGTCTGACGAGTTGCGCGGCCGCGCTCTAACGAAACTGCATGGAACTGTTGAATTTCGTGACCAGATTTCGAGTGCCCAGAGCGGGAGGATTCTATGTGCACTCCTGTTACAGTTATACAGTTTGTGGGGCGAAGAGAAATTTCACTTGTATTATCATTTCTGGTGCTGCGTAAATATGAAGGAGGCTTGTAAGTAACCTATATGATGCGTCAATGGGTTTTGCAAGCATTTAGGACACTTTATATAAAAAAGCAAAACAAGCAAACGCAACAAGGATACGAACCTCCGTGCCGCGCCTTCCACACCATCGTCCTCTCAACTCGGCCATCGCAGCACGTTTCGGTAATGCTCGGGTCCCGTATAAAAGCAGCACCCGGGAAAAAAAGGGGCCCATAAGTTTATTCCCAGAAGTGGATCGCAGATCTGAAACCCAAATTAGAAATAAGCATTTGGATGCACTTACGTCGGTATACATCTTAACTTGAATGGCAACTGCGACCTAGAATCCTTCCCTTGTGAGTGCTGTGCTTTCCAGCTTTCAATTTAATGGGATCTGTAAAAGCCCAATATTTTCTTCTGAACACGAAAGATGTTCGAAGATTGAGTCTCAGCGTTAACCATTGCCGCTTCTAGGATGCGGCCCGCATCCGACGTCTAAACAGATTGTTAGTAACATTAAGAGCATATTTGACACACAATGAATTACGGTGACTAGCTGATATACATTCAGTGCTTCTATCCTGCCAGACCACTGACCGACCCCGGAAGGATGGAAACCTTGGTTGGCTAGAACGAAACCGATAAACGATTCGATCCCCGGACCATGCACAGGTAACAGTGCGTCATTCCTGCCACATCAGTTACACTTCTCTACTGACCACGATTAAAGTTCAAAAGGAATACTCCCATTTTCAAGTTCGTTCTAGGAAATTATGACTGCACCAATGGTGCATAGAGCAGGGAATGTTCAATCTACGAGACATTACTGCAGTCGATTCATTATCTTACCACCCTTTTATAATTAATCTTTCCACGAAAGTTGCCTGTATGGTACAAACATTTCGAGAGACCAAAACAATGTTATTTCTCATGTCTAGTTAGTAAGACTTTGTTCAAATAGAAAAACTTTCAGTTTCTTAGAAAGCTCGCACATTAGTGGTATACTTTACGAGGGGAGGGCCCTAGAAAATAAACTCGATCCATGTGTGTTTGAAAATTGCAGAGTCATGACTTGGAAAACTTATTATGCACATTGCTTTGCCCTCCTAAAGTATACCACTATTGTACAAGCTGGTGCACAACCGGCCGGGGTAATCAAGCGCCATTTTTTTCCAGTTTGTGTTTGAACGCTCGTAACGGATGAGCCTCAGCCTCACGTTGGAAGAGCCACTTATGCACAACTACCTGCATTACCGATCAAAGCCTTGTTCTCATCCTACTGTTCCTCCGATTCCCTTTCACCCTCTCCTGTTTTACTTCGCATCAGCTTTTTCTCTCAGTTAAGCTGAATGTGCTTGTTGGTCAATGTTAGTGGATGTTCACTTACTTCATGCTGATGGCTGCAATTCGAGAAATCACTCTTTTTGGCGTTGCGGGTTCTGTCTACTTTTTTAATTTCTTTCGTACTTTCTGTAGGGTGGCAGTCTTTACTCTATGTCATTCCTCTTCCGTTTGCAGGAAACAGGATTACCCTAATGCAACTTGGACCTGGGTTTCTACGCCCGAAGTACACATTCAGCTTAAAGAGGTAACTACGAGGGTTGCCTTTTATATTTCGGGATTTGGAAACACTAGTGTAGCAACCTAGCAACTGACACCACTATCGTAAAATGTGACCATTTTGAGGTTCCGTTGCGAGATTTGAGCGCGAATTGTGTTGTTTACACTAAGTTATAAGATTTTGTTTCGGCCAAGTTATGGAGTTGAACCGTAAGCATTTTCGCGCGATTATTTTCTACAGCCTTCGACGTGGACTAACTCAACAGCAATGCATGGATGAACTTAGTTCAATTTTTGGGGATGAAGCTCCATCCAGGACAAGTGTTTATCGATGGTACAGCGAATTCACCCGAGGTCATAGTTCACTCGAAGACGAATTACGTGGAGGTCGTCCAAAATCAGTTGTCGTTCCGGAAACGGTTCATGCTGTGCACTACTGCAAGATCGTCAACCTATCGTGTCATTGAGGCAACCTTAGGCATTAGTGGGACTAGCTTTTATTCAATTTTGCATGAACATTTGACTGTAAAAAAACTGTTTTTGGAAAATTTGTCAATCCCCCAAAAAAGGAACTCGTGTCGATTAGCCGAAGGAAATGCTCAAAAAATTTGATCGCGATGCTTCGAAACACGTCTATGACATCGATTCAGGTGATGGATCATGGATTTATGCGTATGAGCCCGAAAGTAAACAGCAGTCGTCCGTATGGGTATTTCAAGATGAGCCAAATCCAACAAAAGCTGTGCGCGCACCAAGCACTTCCGAGCAATTGATCTCCTGTTTTTTTTTTTGGAAAAACTGGACATGTCGCAACCGTACCATTAGAGCAAGCAGAACAGTCAATTCTGAGTGGTATACCACCATTTGTTTGACAGTTGCCTTCCAAAAAATCAGGAAAAACAACTGCGGAAGACGGATCACTCTTCACCACGACAATGCGAGCTCCCACACATCGGCTCAAACAACTGCATTTTTGAGCACTCAAAACAACGATTTGACAGGTCATCAGCCATATAGTCCCCGGGTGACTTCTTCTCATCCCGTACCTAAAAAATAAAATGAGAGGTCAACGTTTTTCGACACCTGAAGAAGCCGTTAATGCGTTCGGAACCCATGTTTTAGAGTTACCTTAATCAGAGCGGCAAAAGTGTTCGAAAATTGGTTCTAGCCCATGCAAAAGTGTATAGATCATAATGTGGAGAATTTTGAAAGGCAGTCAAGCGATTTTCAATAAATAGTATTTGTTCCTGTTCTCAAATCCCGAAATATAAAAGGCAACCTACGTATTTGTGCCCGCCTCGGAATAACCTCGGTTAGTTGCGCTGACCAGACCTTAACCCTAATATTCATTCTTTTCCCCATGTTTTTATTAATTAACAAAACTGAGCAAAGTGAAGGACGCCTTGATGTCCTTTCCCTACTATTGTATATAACCAGCCTCTAGCGACCGGCTTGAAGACATTCTCTTCCTGTCGCTGTTTTACCACCCTCCCTTACTCTTACATGTTTTTCTCTTATGAATGGCTCGGGTCAGAGCACGGATACGGTAATTATGGCATATATACTGATGCATGAAGGCGTGTGAGTTTCCTGTATTTACCAGCACTGCAGCACTGGTATATTTTACAATTATCTTTTACTGATGACTCACCTCGAACGCATAATAAATAAATAACGATGAAGTATAGAGTCTTCGAGCGGTGGTCAATCTAGTTTGAGTGATGTGCCCCCGCATTCGTGTTCGAATCAGTACTGTTGTGGTGTATTGAATGTGTATACAATGAACTTGCGGTTTCAGAAGACAGAGCTTTTACCCTCCCGAACAAGTGTGGCACCGATTAAGCGATTCCGAAGGCATGAAGGCTTGGTTGATCTAGGCGGATATAACTTTTGGGCTCTTGATCATCTTAATCGCACAGCCCTCATACGAAGAGAAAACAAGTGTGATCAAACAGAGAATTAAGTTGATGCCTCCTGATGGGAAATCACTATCAGAACTCGCTTACCATACACATACTAGCTGGAACTGAAGTAAAACGACCGATAAAGTAATGTATAATGTTGGCGGAGAGCAGTAAATAAACAACAGCGATACCAAAGAGTGTCACGTTCCCCATCACAGAAGTAAAGCGTCTGAAAAAAGCAGCTAAGAGCTTTAGTTAAGATCAAGACCAATTTGGACAGTTCCTTGAAAGGAACAGCTCCCGGAAACGGTTTCAAAGGCAGGATTATAGTGTTGCTCAAGACTAGGCTCTTTGCTTGGCATTAGTTATAAAATTTGAGGTATTTATCACCGATTCTACATTCTTCTAAATCATGGAGAAAAAGCACTTCGACCATTTAAAAAATTCATTTTGAAGAGTTAGAGAGAACATTCTAAAGCTTCCTTAGCTTCTTTCAATAAGAACAACGCCTCTCGTGATTTTTAATATCGAAGAAAAAACCGAGTGACCACTTACTGCATCCCTGGTCCCATCGTACGTTTCGCCATTTCTGGAAAAGGCTTGCGGCAGACTCCCAGGTGAGGATACCTGAACATTTTCAAAGTAAACGGATCGTTATTTTCGAAAATTCACACTTACATCTCTACTAATTCGCTCGATACTCTGTGAACTTTCAACCAAAAAATGCTTTTGCTCGATATTTCCAATAGACTCGTTAATGATGGTGCAGAATAATAAGTAACATCAAATAAAACAGGCTCACCACTTCAGTGAAGTGAAAACTGGAATCGGTTTTTCTAGCTCTCAATTATGAAAAGTAACTTGGTGTATAAGATTGTCGGCATGTCTTTCTGCCCGTCCGCAAAACTTTACAACTACATAGATAAAAGGTAGCGTTATGAAAAATCCAGTTCTTTTCAGCATTTCCTTCTTACACATAAAGCCTTAACTTGGTTGGTGGTTAATAAAATAGAGTGAGTACTGTGCAGTGAAATGAGTAATGTGCAGTGAAGTAGGGACTAAAGCATCGTATGTACTATGAATGTCAGTACAATAGTTGGGTGGGCGGGGGAGGGGGACACGGGCCAAAGCATTCTTTTCGTTCAGAGCTCTCATGAAGAAGTCTGGTTATAGGGCCGGCGGTCGTCCTGGTATTCGCTTGACGTCCCGCTTGACGTCATGCGATATAGTGATGAACGCTGGACCAGTTCATAACCACCCTGGTCCAACTTTCACCACTATATTGCATGACGTGCCGTGCCTATCTGGTTTTCGATTTCTTGGCGTATTCAACGGTATCCCTCATCTTCGTTCGTCGACGGAGCTCGGCACCCCGCATTTTCTTCTACACCTGCGTGTATAGAGAAATTCTGAGCATCATCTGTCCACAGCGCGTCGAATGACGCTAACTGCATGCTGCTTTCGTAGAGTCCACGTATTTGAGATGTACAGTAGCGCTCAAAAGTCTTCGGTGAAATGGTTCTTCAGCCGTACTTTTCAGTCGTAACTCCTTTCCTACTGGATCTAATCATGCGGAATTTCTACATTTGGAGCGTGGGTGTACTGTGAATATTTAATACTATTATCCTGCAATCTGATCATGTTCCAGATATTCCAAAGAACATGAACTCAAAATTGACCGGAAATACAGATGATGGTCTTTCTGGAATCTCTTTCCTTTTTGTCGAGTCTAAAGTGTACGAGCGGTAATGCCGAACACAATTGATGAGGAAATCACACATAAGGCGCGAATAAGTACAGACGTCAACAACTTTATTTTTGGCAAAATCTGCTACCGCAACAAACACCTTGCTCTATCTGTGGATATTGCAGCTTTGCAGTCAAACAGTGTTGGTTAGGATGAAATAAGCTCTGGTTGAACATATCCAAATTTTGCGCGATTTGGTCCATTAAGAAAAAAGTTATGAACGAAAAAGCGTCAAAGCTTTACACCGAAGACTTTTGATCGCTACTGTATGTCAAAACAGGAAGAACCGCAATATCGAAAAGTGAGCCAGATGTTCTTCGTCTTCTTCACTACTCCCTCTATGTTTTTGAATGCTCCTCACGCAGCACGTGAGCCTCTGCTCAGCTCCGAAGCTAGATCCTTCATCAGGTTAAGTTTCTGACCTAGATATACGTAGTCAGAGCATTCAGAGATATTCGTTCCGTTCAGCGTGAAAGGAGTATCAGGTATCAATCCGTTTCGCATGAACATCGCCTTCGTTAGTTCGTCGTAATCCGCAATTTCCGCAAGGGTTGTCGAATTTGGCCAGCATTCGTTCCGCCTGCTCGATGTTCGAATGCTCGGTGTTATAAGCGCGATGTCATCTTCAATGCGGAGATGATGTAAGGAGACTGTCGACCTTCACGTCCATACTTTCCATTCCATACGACGCGTGATGTTCTTGAAAGCGGCATTGAAAAGTTTAGGCGAAATGGTATCGCCCTGTCGAACCCCTCTCCTCACGTTAATGATGACTTCTTTATAGATGGAGAGATCCTGGTAGGGAAGTTGTTGCAGAGCTCACTAAGCATCCTTACAAAATAGGAATACCCTGGTTGCCCAGGGCTTCGATTACCGCTTTTGTCTCGACGGGATCAAAAGCTTTTTTCAAGTCGTTAGACATAAGAGCATTTTGTACTCCCGCGATACTTCAATGAGACTTGTTACGGTGTGGTTGTGATCGATTGTACTGAACACTCTCCGGAACACTGCTCGCTCGCATGGCTGTCCTTCACCTGATAATCTGCCAATCCTGTTTAGGATGACTCGTGTGAAAAGTATTTGGATTACAGACAGCAGGCAAGTTGGGCTATAATTACCAATGTCGCCTGGATCTCCCTTCTTATACAGTGCGTTTCATAATTATAAGGTCACCCTCAATTTTTGCACTTTCAAAAAAAGTAATCATTAAGGATTTTTTCTAGCATCATGAACAGATTCCAAAGCACGAATAACCTAGGTATCTGTCGCTTGGCCGCTGCTGCATTCTTCTGAACTTTTTTAGTACAGTTTATCGGTTTTTGCACCGTTTCATAATTATAAGGTCACCCTGAGAAAGTGAACAATTATTAACGGAAGAGAGGAAATTTCGTGTTTGAAGATACTTGTAAAGGTAAGCATGTGTAGCAAAGGCATTTCTAAACCTGACTGTCAACATGGCTCGTGGTCATCTGCTTTCCTCTGATGAGAAGGCTCATCATGAAGGTGGGCTCCGTACTCGAGCCATTTCCAGGCAAATAGAGAGATCCACTCGGTCCATTCGGAGATTTCTAGAGAGCCCTCATGTCGTTAGATATAACACCGACTGTGGACACCCATGAAAGATTACTACCCGTGACGAGCGGAAAATTCTGAGGACTGTTTCCAACAGTACGTCCTCCTTAAACCAAATCCGATCGGAATTAAACCTCTTTATGTCGAAGACTACAGTCTGGAGAGCAGTGAAAAGATGCGAGAACATCACCAGGCAAGCAATGGAGAAGGTGCCATGAATCATCGATCGCCACTGAGAGGCTAGATTCGGATTTGCAAAGATGAACCTAGGGAGAGATTGGGCAAAGGTAGATCTGCATCAAAATCTCACCATAGAGACGAGTAATTCCTATTCAGTTCGTCTGATCGGATGAAAAGAAATTCAATCTGGATGGTTCTGACAGAAACAAGCACTACTGGTGCGACTTGAGGAAGGAACCAGCCTACTTTAGCCGTCGCAATTTCGGTGGAGGAAGTCTATGGTGTGGGGTGCATTCTGCAATGATGTCGTGTTGGATCTACTTTTCTTGAGCTGTAGTATGGATTCCAGAGGTTATCAGAACGTCTTGGGGCATCATCTACTACCCTTTCTCTACCGTGGCCGTCACCCCAACTATGTGTTTCAACAAGACAACGCTTCCATCCACGTGAGCC